TATATATTATATTTTTATAAAAGAAATATTTTTTTTTCTTATGTCCTAAGTATATGACTATTCTTAGACTTGTTATATATAGTGTGGTTGTTTTCTTTGACGTCCATATGGCTTAAATTTAAAGACTACACAAAAAATACAATTTTTTTTTTTTTTATATTAGGCTTAAAATACACTACTACTTTTTTTCTTTTTTGTTTTTATGTTTGTACTTGCTGAAATAAAAGGCTCAAATCTAACTATACTCTCCAAAAGGAGTGTAGCGCTGGATTTCTTCACAGCAACACAAACTTGGAGGATGTGATTGTTCTAAGCTTCCGTTTAAAAGACTTCAAAACCTACTTTAACTGTTCAGAAAATTTGGCTACTTGTTTTCTTTTTAATTATAATGGTGACTTTTTTTTTCCCTTTAAAATCTTTTCACAATAAGGTATCAGCTACAACACGCAAAGAATCCTATCACATATACCATAAATGACATAACTTAACAAAACAACCAACCATAAAAAAAGTATCAGAAATACCCAAAAAAAAAAAAAAAAAACATTTTTAATTTATTTTTCTTAATTTGATATATTATGATATATGATCTAACGGTTAAAAACTGTATCACTAGTATAATATAAAAAAAAAAATTGAGAAAGATAGAGAAACACAAAGCATACCTTGAACAAGTCCCACTCTGAAGCCACCAACATTTTCACTCTGTAAATCACATGGGCCTTGTTGGCCATCACAATCGTTGTCTCCAAGAAAACCCCAAGTTAATCCCAAACCAAAACTATTATCAGACAAATAAGGACTGTACTTGAAAGGAATAGCAACCGTCTTGATTGGTTTGCAAGAAAGAGGCAAATCCATTGAAGGCTCTACTGTATAAACATAATGATCATAACCCCTTAAACAGGGTATTTCTGCAAAACCAGGCTTGAGCTTGGCTGAACAACTTATGTAGGTGTAGTTTTTGACAACGTAGTAATACTTGAATGGCGTGTTTGAGAGATTGAGATTGAGAAAGACCTCGTGAACGCAGCTTTTCGGGTCGACAAGATCGAGCTTTTTCGCGTCGTAGGAAATGGATTTCACGACCAGGTCGCCATAAGATGGGAAGTGGATTGTGGTGGGGTTGTCTTTACAGAGAAGCTGGAAATTGACGGTGTCGTTTTTGGGATGTTGTACTCGTCGTTGGCCTTTTATGTGGAAAGGGGAGTGAATATCGGGACCGCCATTGGAACACTTTGTGTAAGCTTGACTGTGTGGAAAGAGTGAAGTGAAGGAAAAGGTGAAGATGAAGATGATGGTGAAGAAGAAGGTGAAATTAGCCATTGTTGGCAATTGCCTAGAAACTGTTCCTTCTTCTATCATTTTATATAGAAGGTGGAGTGGAACGTGAAATTGGTTAGAATGGCTCGGTCGTTCTTTATAATAAAAAAAAAAAAAAAAATGGTCAATTCTGTCGTTCTCTAATCATTTTATAAATAAAAATTTTTCAAAAATTATTTTGTTATTATAACTTTTCTATTGAGTTATTTTTACAAATGACTCGAGTGGAATAATAAAACATATAATAGTTAATTTCAAATTTGACCTCTCAGAAAATAGTGATTGTTTATTTTACCTCCTGCAACTAAAAAATGGCACATAGCACTTTCCATAGGCTTATAATAGCTTGTAATTTTAATACTTCTACCATGGAGATGTCAATTTTTTAACCATTTTTTATTCACATTGTGTTTTCCTCTTATTTGCTCACAACACCGACATCGTCTTGTTATATTGTATTTTTATCAAGTAGTCATGTGAATAACACAGTGATTAAAACTGTTAAAAAAATTAACTTTTAATTTATGAAAGTATTAAAGTTGCAACATATGATAAACTCTTGGGTGTTTTGTGCCATTTTAAAATATAGAATTAGGGGCAAAATGAAACAATCTCTATTTTTAAGGTAAAATTTGAAATTAACTCAAAATATAAATAAATGAATAAAGTCTTGGTCTAACTCAAAAGTCTAGCACACCCAAAAGGACCACTTACGTAATGGAAGTGTAAAGACTAGAGGCAAGCAAAGAAACTTCCGATGTGTATTAAAAGTTAATGAATGTGATGGGATTCTTTTTGCTTTAATTTCTTATGTTGGAGAGACAATGAAAGGATGGGAAATTTTTCCACTTGGAATGAAGAAAGAGAGTGCTTAATGGGTTTGAATTTTTCAGTTTAGAAAATAGTTGGTTAGCAATAATAAGGACTTACTAATCAGATTTGTTTGGATTATTACACAAATAAATATTGTACCCTTTTCTGTGATGAGGATGCGAGTATTGTATTCAGTTTCAGGACCAATAATTAAATATAAATAATGTGTTTAATTTCTTTCTAACGCGTGATTAGAAGTCTCTCCCTTACTCTCTTTTTCTAACAAGCATTTAGTCATCTTTTACAAGGAAAAACAGAAATAAAAGAGAGAAAACTGTTCGTTGATCTTTATTTTTAAATTTATTAAGAGTGTTTCTTTTTATTTCCCTCTTAAACAGATAGAAGGAAAAAGGATGTTTTTTAGTGTTTGGTTTTTCGGGAGAACATTGCAAGAGCAAAGTGAGTAGTCTAACTTTTTTTGCTGAAGATTTTTTTTTTCCTTTTTTTTTTTTTTTTTTTTTTTTTTTGCGCTAAAGAAGTCAATTGGAACGAGAAAATTATGGTTATAGAATGTGATTTTTTTGAAACAATGACTTTCAAGGAAAAAGGTAAATATATATTGATATTGCATCAATAGAGTGTAACACATGGTGATAAGCGTGAAGAATGCTTAGCAAATCAAAAGTGTAAGATTCACTTATATAGAACAATTTTTCATTTTTTTTTCTAAGAGAAGAAACCTTTTTTTTATCATTACAGTGAAAATGAGAGTTGTAAAATAAATTAATCTCTAATTTAGTAAAATCATTTTTTATCTCTTTTTTTTTTTTTTTTTTGGCGAAGGGATGTCGTTACTTCGATAAAGCACAGGAGTGTGAGTGTGAAAATCTTAATTAAAAATATTTATTTTTAAAAAAAAATTTCTTTCGTATATTTTTTTATCGATTTTTTTTATAAATTATTGATTGATCTTGGTAAATAGTTTATTAATTAATCATTAGTTTACAAACATAATGTCTAATGTATAACTTTTGCAATTATGTAAATTGTGGTTTCTTAAGTTTTTAAAAGATGGACATTTTTTAAACACAAAGGACATGTCATTTAAACTTAAACCAGTTTTAAGAGCATCTCGAATGCCAAATTAATATATCAATGTTAAATTTTTATATAAACACGAGAGAATTAATTTCCAATATAATACTATTTTGGGTTGAATATGGCTTATGCTATAATTAACAAGTATAGAATATATAAAATTTTGGCATTTTTTAACTATTAGTTGATGTGTTAACTTTTTATTTAATAATTACAATTTTTTATTTTTAAATTACTAAAAAATAAATTTTATTTTTATAAGTTTTAAAGCCTAAAATTTATGATAGAAATATTTATAGCATTTAAAATAATGCAGCGGAAAACAAAACAAAGTATCAAAATAGTTCATTTTCATACTTTTTCGTTACTAAAGATAATATTAACATTGGCGTCCAATAACCCCTAAGCTAAACGACAAATACCGTGTGACAATGAACACATACGTTGATGATAAAACGGCATGCCACATACCTTGATAAAGCGGCATTGCCGTTTGGTTTCTTCAAAGTAAACGACACAACAAACTTTGAAACGCAAGCGACAAATCGTTCCGCAAATAAACGTTTAACACGATATTTTCCTAAGAAACGACGTGTCGTTTTCAAGAGCCAAAATCCACACAATTGCCGGAAGGCATTCGATATCTTCTTCTTCTTCTTCTTCTTCTTCCATTGAAGTCTCCTCACACACTCTCCGTTTTTCGTCGCTCCAACAACAGCTCAGGCCTTAGCCATGGAGGTCGCCGCCTCAGCTTCGAGCTTTTTGCTCCACACGCGGCGCATGTTAGCACCGCCGACCACCGCCACTTCCCGAACGCCGATTCGTGCTCATACTACGACGGCGTCGTCTTCTCCCGCTCTCCGAGCTTCTCTCTCCTCCAACTTCCTCTCTCCCTTCGCCGGCGGCGGCCTCTCCGCCGAATTCTCCGGTCAGAAGCTCCGCCCCGCATCCCTCAATCCGGCGTCCTTTCGCAACTCCAAGCCCAAACGAGGCGTCGTCACTATGGTACTTTTACACCTTAGTTTCATTTTATTTTTAGGGTTTCTGATTTCTTGTGAGGGTTGGTTTTTTGGATAATGCTTGCAAATCCCTATGATTTTAAGGATTGTTGGTGTTACATTTGTCGTTTGCGAACTTTCCACTGGAGCTGAGAAGATACAAGCTTGAATTTTGCGATTGATGAAAATGAAAGGAGATTGGGGCTTATTGTTTGACATAGAAATGAGTGTGCTAATTATTAAGCAAACTTGGGTCGTTATATTTGTAGTGTCATTCATAATTGTGAAGATTAAACTTTTACAAAGTCACACTTCTGGAGACCTAAATTTCCATTTTCTTAGTTAGAGTGTCAAAGAACTGAGAATATGTTGCTATGGTAAAACAAGTTGGGGTTCTGAAAATTTTCATATATACATGATTTCGTTTGAGATATTACACTCAATGGCCAATATTTTTTGTAGTTTGTAAAGAATGTGAGGTGGACTAAGGGCATTTTTTAATGGAAAAATTGTAGGCATCGATACGAAATTATAGTTGACACGGTAGTTTCAATTGTTTCGACTTTCTGCAATATCATTTATTGGGTTGATGTGATAGTTTCTATGAGAAGCAAATCCCAGTTCTTCCATTGTGAGCCCTAAAAAAATTCCATTATGCATATTTTCCTCAAGATCATTGCATTTTTTTCTCTTCATTTTCTGTTGCACGTAGTAATTAACTTCGACATCATATTCCAAGTATGGTTTGAAGACAAACTTAATGCTTCATCGTACTATATTCTATGCATTCTGCAGGTTATTCCATTTTCAAGGGGAAGTGCATGGGAGCAACCTCCCCCAGACTTGGCATCTTACTTGTATAAAAATCGAATAGTATACTTGGGCATGTCGCTTGTTCCTTCGGTCACAGAGTTGATATTAGCTGAATTTCTGTACCTTCAGTACGAAGATGCTGAGAAGCCTATATATCTGTACATAAATTCCACAGGAACAACAAAGGTCAGCAGTGCTTTTTATTTTCTTTTAATTGCTTTGGATTCTTTGTTTATACGAACATTTTGCATGTCTCGTCGTGTGTCTGCATTTTATTATTTGAAGTGTTTGGATTACTTGGATGATTCTTGTGCTATATCACATCTTATATGAATGTTTTCAGCCCCGTTCTTTTCGCAGGTTTGAGTGGAATACTTGAACTAAAATTCAAATTTTTGTGAGAGAAAACACTGTAGCAAAGTTTGAATTGTGATTCGAACTGTGTGAAGAACGGGGCCTTTGATTTTCCATTCCCAATTTCTATTTCAGAAACGATCTGGTTTTTCCTGCTGGTTTAATGGAATTTTAAACTGGATAGCTCTTACTTTGGAAATTTGAGGAGGGAAAGATCTTGGGCAAGCTGAACATCCAGTTTTAAAACCTACCTTCAAAGAGATGGTCTGGTTGGAGTATTACCAGCTTGTAGGCATGTCAGTGGGCTTAGAGATATGCTTTCTTTGTTATGCTGAGATTCTACTTAAACTACAACTTTTTTGCCTCTTTCCTTTCTTTTAGCTAGTTAATTAACCAAACTTGTAAACTTTGGTTGGTTTGTCCATTGTATGACTTAAATAATTATTCTTTTGTTTCTCCTCGCATTTCAGGGTGGTGAGAAGTTGGGTTACGAGACTGAAGCTTTTGCTATCTACGATGTTATGGGGTGATTAATCGTTATGCTCTTGTTTGTACATCGTGGTTTTAGTCGTCTAATATTGGAGCAGATACTATTTGCTTTGACAGAACTTGGGGAGTATCTGTTACTCTGTACTTACAATAAATTGATTCTCCTCTGCTCCAGGTATGTGAAGCCCCCGATATTTACTCTGTGTGTCGGTAATGCTTGGGGAGAAGCAGCGCTACTTTTGGCCGCTGGTGCAAAGGGAAACCGTTCTGCTTTGCCCTCATCTACAATTATGATGAAGCAGGTTTTCTCTTGACCCATGGCTTCTAGTTCTTTAGAATTCTTGTCATCCTATTTCTTGCATCCTTTTTAGTGCAATCTTAAATTAGGGCCATGTATCTGATGAAAATGCAAGTCCACATATCTTACAGTCAAATTTTGAGAAATTTTATCCTTCTTACTAATGCAGCCAATTGCAAGGTTTCAAGGTCAAGCAACAGATATAGACCTTGCAAGAAAGGAGGTAAAGAACGTGAAGGCAGAATTGGTAAGATTTTTACCTTTAGGATAACTCTTCCCATTTAATGCTCTAGGATAACTCTTCCCATTCTACATTTAACGCTCAGTGAATACTTACAAATTCTCCTGCGTGTAATTTCTATGATTCTTCTTGAATAATTTGGCTGGGATTAGAAGTTTTTTCCTTTATTTTGTCTTGTGCGTCTTTCTAGAATAAAGCAAGTAGGACCACTCTTAAGAACTTTGTTATATAACCAAAGATTAAAAATGTTTTATTATTCTGCAGAATTATGTTTCTGGCACATGCGTGACAATTATTTTGATTTCGTCTTAGTCATACAATTATTCTATAGAATTGAGTCGTGGTTTATATGATTTATTGTAGTGCGTCCAATTAATTTTTGGCTTTTGTAAAGCAGTGCCTGTTTCTAAAATTTCTATAATTTATGAAGGAATACCTGCATCCCATCTAAAATAGCATTATCATTTATTTCAATTCTTTCTCAAGGTTAACCTCCTCGCCAAGCATATTGGAAAATCTCCTGAGCAAATTGAAGCTGACATCCGGCGTCCAAAATATTTTAGTCCCAGCGAGGCAGTGGAGTATGGCATCATAGACAAGGTATGCATATGAACGCTTGAAGGTCACAAATGTTACTCTAGCCCCACGCCATCTTAAATTACCATGTTGCTGACTTTTCGCAGGTAGTGTACAACGAGAGAAGTACTGAAGATAGGGGAGTTGTCTCTGACCTGAAGAAAGCACAACTTATGTGATGTGGGATGGCTTGGAAGATTACTTTGAGGAACATCCAGGTAAATAGCAACCACGAGTTACTGTCTAATTATGAGATAACTATTAGTCGCTTTTGCAGTTAAGCATTACGACCTGTGCTTTTAATTGCTGCTGCCTTTAATTTCAACAACAAAACCACCTTATTGGCACCAATGTTGACATTGTAATTGCCAAGTGATCGAATTGAAGAGGACAGTTTAGGATGGATAACTTTTTTTTTCCTTCCCTTTTTGGATGTCTTGCTGTTTGACAAGTGTTCAGTGTGGTGTCTCTATTTACATTTCTAATATGAAAGTACCTACAACAACAGCATTTTATTTTTCATTACCAAAAGTAGCGCTGAATTGAGGTGGGGGAGATTCTGGAGTGGGGAGGTAGTTTCTTTTTCTTTGATGAATATAGTCCCTTCCCATTATTGGTTTCTCCCTCTCCCTAGAAGATTCGGCGGGGAGACACTTTACATTTCTAGTATGAAAATACCTACAACAACAGCATTTTATTTTTCATTACCAAAAGTAGTGCTGAATTGAGGTGGAAAGATTCTGGAGTGGAGAGGTAGTTTCTTTTTCTTTGATGAATAGAGTCCCTTTGCCATTATTGCTTTCTCCCTCTCCCTAGAAGATTTGGCGGGGAGACACCTGGAAGAGGAACCAGCTAAAGATGCTCTTGTTGATTATATGGTTAATTTGTGTTGCACCATACTTGCCTTTTTTATTATTCTGTTATGACTTCTCAATTTGGAAGTGACGGTGACTGAAGTGCATTGTTGATTGGTGAGTCCTTTGTTGCTTTACAGTTATGGTTGTGTCCCCATGCCATGACCTTTCACCCTTTGTTTCTGATCCAAAGTTACAGGTGTAGGAGAGGGATTCAAGAAACTCGAAAAGATTTTTAAATTTTTTAAAAGGACCATAATACTTTAGTCCCTTGTCTTGAGAGTGTCTTCCATTATTTTCTCCAAGTGCTTACGACCCATTTTGGAGAGTGATGTCATTGTGTATTTATCATCTTAGTGAAAGTCACTTTCCTTAAGTTGGGGACTCTCTACTGCAACTATCACATAATTAAAGTGAAGAGCTTAGCTATGTCATGTGAGTTTAAATTGTTCTTAACCTGACACAAGTTAACAGCATAAGCTAAACCATCTAGAAGCTTATCTGATAAAATGAAAACTTCCTTTTTCTTGAAATCCATATAAAACCAAATTGCTTGCTCTGTCCAAGTGGCAATGGGAAGAAAATTTGAAGAGCATATAGATGGTCTCCACAGACAATTTAAGGTCTCGTTTGTTTCACCGATTCGAATCACAGCTCAAGTTTTTGTTACAGTGTTTTCTCACAAAAATTCAAATTCAACTTTTTGTGCTACAGTGTTTACGAAGTCACTTCTCAACTCGAATTAAAAACTCGAATCGGCGAAACAAACGAAGCCTAAGATTACGACTGGTATCATATGGTGTGGTTCAAAGTTTGTAATTTGTTGTTCACAATTATTTTATTTTAGTTGTTTCCCCATGTATTGATTATTGGTCATTATGATTAGCCTCTGGTGCTCGCAATCTTATTATTTATTCCCAACTTTATCAGATTTGGAGATCTTTGCAATATTAACTTCTAGATTAGCGGGGAAAAAGTTGCCCCAAACAAGGAAAAAAAAAAAGCCTGAGTACTGATCGACAACGGAGAATATTCACAGTACATCCAATTGGGAATCGCATAAACCACTGGTTTCCTTAAACTTGTATCTACTATCTGGCTCAGAAATTTAAGAATGCCATTGTATCCTTGTTTCTATTTTGACTTGAATTTGTCTTTCCAACTGTGGTTATGTGAAAAACACGAGGAAAAGAATTAATAGCTGAATTAGTTCATGTATTAACCCTTTTGACTTGGTTCTAGTAAAAGATAATTTGTTCAAATTACTGTCCAAATATTGGACTAAGACATAGGTGGATGGAACCATGAAATTGCAAGGATTTTAAAGGGAAAGGAAAGAAAATCTCGAGTATAAATGCGAATGTCCTGTGATCGCTGAACAATTTTTTTTTTTGGTTTTTTTTTTCTTTTTGTTAAGTAATGTAATAAGACATAACAGTTGGTTATTAGACGATTACCCCTGGAGGTAGAAGGCAGTGATATAGATTTTAAGTTATTGAAATGTTATTATAACCAGTGAATAAGCTCATATTATTTAAAGCACGAAGTGCTTGGAATGCAGCCAAATGGACGACAGGCATAAAGAGTCACCTACCCCAATTCCCATACTTTTTTTTTATGTTGGAATCTGATTGAACATTGGTTTTTGTACACCTCCTTTTGCATACATTGTTTACACATGTAATAATACCCGCTTATGCCGTCACTAAATTTCAAAAAGGAAATACCCTTTTTCACAAACTTTATGCTCTGTCTGTATTGGTTACTTTAAAATTTAGCCCTCGAATTTTGCTCTTTATTCTGGTTTGGCCCTTGAATTTCAAAACTTTACAAATAGTATTCTACTTCCTAATCCATCAAAAAGTCACATGTTGAGTCTCTGTCACAGAATCGTTAAAAACTCAACAAATCAACCACATGAACGAGCTTGGTTAATGAAAAATCGATATTTTAGGCAATCACATCTATAAAACTACTCTTAATGCCCTTTAATCAACAAGCTCAATTTGAGATGAAGTACTTTTTTTTTTTTTAAATCTTTAAATTTATTTAGATATGATTTTTCAAAAATATTTTTGTATTAACTATTTATGTGAGGGTCGTCATTGATTTTTTTTGAGTTTGTAACGATTTTCTGATAGAATAGCTTAACACAATTGAAGTGTGATTTATAATGTTCTGTCGTTTAATAGCCAAACGGGAACTTATCAGGGGTCAACATTGGAACTAACCTTTGTATTTTTCTGGGATTGGTTGCAACTTGGTACCACGCTAATGAAGAAGTCCAAATTGGACTTTTAATAGGAAGATATATTAGTGCTCAAACCCCCAACTCTAACCCTAATCCGAAATTTGACACGAAAGGGCCCTATATATGCTTTTATTATCTAGACCTCCTTTAGTGCGTTACAATCAAACAAGATAATGGCCTTGGTGGGTGTAATATGAATTATATTTTTTATATATAAGACCATAGTTTGATGTGTTGACTCAATAAACCAATGAAAATTTTCGCTTATAGCATACATGTCTATTCTTTAACCAAAAAAAAAATTAAAAAGAAAAACGAGTTGCTATTGTTTTTCGGGTTTGATACATAGTTAATGCATTTTAAAAAAAAAACAATATATATATATATATATATATATTGACATACCACTTAGAGAAGTAATGAGGACACGGTTTCGGATTTTTAATTAAAGTCTCATTGTAGTGATATGAGAGCCTCTTTATTCTTTAGTTAGAGGAATAAGCAATGTTAGTTAAGCAAAATCCGCACGACATCAAGTTCACGGAATGAAGAAAAGGTTTTAGATTGGATGGCTTTCATTGTCATCCAAGATTTTAAATTGATAAGTTCATAGGTTTTGTCTATTGGGTGCGTTCACAGATTCGTAAGAAACTTCTCAAAGTAAAGTCTCAAACAAATCACGTTTCGGATGGATTTTCAGTCTTGTTCTGAGTAGTGTTAAAAAAAATTAATTAAACCTCTCCTATCGATTGCAACTTTCGAAAGGAATAGTTGTGTCACTCTCCAATACTTAATCATTAAAGTACATAAGACTTGGTATTAGCATAGTTTACAAACACTTTGAAGATGAAGTAACAAAATCTTCTACTACCTACACTTTAGGAGGGTGAAATTAACACTTTTTAAAATTTAAGGGCATGCTGAAACAAGGTACAAAGTCCAGGGGGTGTTTATAAAATTAATCCTTAATTAAAATTTAACCTTTGTTACCAATTGGAGTTGACTGTTACTATTTTGTATTCAAAAACGATATTGTGCAGAAAAAAGTTAGGTGTTCTAATAATAATTCTTAAGCAATGTAATTCCAATGGATTCACTCTCTCCGGTCAAATGCAATTCAATGGCAAATACTGAAGGATTATAAGTCCAAACCGGGCAACAATGGTGGAATCAAAGGAGAAATGATCACCATCTAGAATTCTGACAAAACATGGCTACAGGTAGAAAGAAACGGCAGGAAAATAGGCAAAAATTAAGCGACACGTTTCAAATACTTAGCTATAGAAAAAGATATTATCCCTTCCTTTTAAATTATAAAACAGTCTTAAGGGAGTCAATGAGGAGCTATTCCCAAGTTGCAAAAAAAAAAATGGTGGCTGCTTTCAAGCTACCACCTCACACCTTCCCACCAAGGCTCTCTTACTATAAATACATGACATATCTTGTTTTCTTTACTATCACAATAACATCCTCATTTCTTATATCTTAAAGTACTTGAGCTTCCTCAGTTCTCTGTCTCTTATTAGTTTCCCTTTCATTTTTTTTTTTGAAAATGGGGTTTGCAATTGAGAAGAAAATCTTTATTTTGCTTGGCCTCATGGTTCTCTTCCCAGCAGTTTGTACCTCTCAGTATACACCCTCTAGAGCAACCTATTATGGTAGCCCTGACTGCTATGGGACTCCACGTATGTCCATATATATATATATATATATATATATATATATTTATATATATACACTCCCACATTACACACTACTTTTACCACATTTGGTTTATTTATGTACACTCTATTCTTACATATCATTACTACAGATAGTGTTTGCATTTTAACAGAATAATAATATTAATAATAAATAATATTTGTTTATAATTTTATCGATTTTAGGTGGAGCTTGCGGGTTCGGTGAATTCGGAAGGACCGTGAATGATGGCAAGGTTGCAGGAGTCTCCAAGCTCTATAGGAATGGAACTGGCTGCGGCACATGTTATCAGGTATAGTAGTACTTCTCATGTAATATTTAACATACTATGATAATTAACACAATAATTATCCTTGTATAAGTACATGATCAATAATAATTAATGCAACATAAGAGGGCACAGATTCGATCCCGTATTGTATTAAAAGAAAAATGCAGTACAAAAAATAGCCGGCTTATAAGGTAAAGTGGCATCAAACCACCAATATCTTTGGTGTTGCTTACAACAAAATAACATATCATTTAGATATCAAGAACCATAATCATGTTGCACTAACAATATTTAAACAAGATAAAGTTCCTTACAGTACTAAAGTAACCAGCAAATTGTGCTCAAATATATATATTATTTTTCTCTCAGGTTAGATGTACAAACCCTCAACTATGCAACTATGATGGGGTGACCATAGTGGTGACTGACTATGGTGAAGGAGACAACACAGACTTCATCCTCAGCCCACGTGGCTATTCGAATTTGGCACTTCCAAATGCAGAGGCTGAGCTGTTTGCTTATGGAGTGGTTGATGTTGAATACAAAAGGGTGTCTTGTCAATACTCAGGTTACAATGTCAAGTACAAGGTCCATGAACACAGCAAATACCCTCACTACTTTGCTCTGGTAATCACATACGCCGCTGGCCAAAACGACATCACATCCGTTGAGTTGTGGCAGGTACAACATACATACAAATAAATAAATATATATGTGCATATTTCAATCCTATATCGGCTTTTATCTGGATGGACAGTCCATTTTTTAACGTAGCATGTAAAACCATAATTTAAAATTACTGATAGAAAGCCGTAACATAGTCCTTTCCATGACACTTTTATTACGTCTAATGCCAAATATTATGTTAAATTACTGTCATATAACGTTTTCTATTTCTACATATTACGTGGATGGACTCTCGATCGAATGAACGGTACCAACACTCACATATATACTTTTGAAACTATTTATGGTCTCATTTATTTCGCGGATTCGAGTTTTTAATTTGAGCTGAGATGTGATTCTGTGAGCTTTTAACTGTAATAAAAAAAGTTAGATGTAATATTTTCTGAGAATTTTTAACTAAAAACTTGAATCAATGAAATGAAGAAAGTCAAAACAACTTTGAACTAATGCCTATACATCTCCTATATGAACTATATATTTTGATATATGCTACTCTAGTGCCTAGTGGAGTGACGTCCATCTGTATGGATCTCACTATTTGATCTAAAGTGGGTTTCCATTCATGCAGAAACCAGTTAAAATGTGACAGTTATACAACCCCCTATTATATATCCTTGTGGACCCCAATGTATAATTTCACGTGGAGATTATGCCTTGTCACTTATTTTATACGCATCTCCAACCATCGTATAGCATGAGCTGTCAAAATGCTATAGAACCAGTAGGGTTTTACTGGGTTTTTTTTTTTTTTTTTTTTTTTTTTTTTTTTTTTTTTTTGTGGCTAAGGGGGTTTTGCTGATTGTTACTTACAAATTTATGGTAGGATTTACCATGCAATATGCACAAACGGACAATTGAGATGGTGAAATGTATCATGCAACCCAAAATCAAGTCACTAAATAATGAAAAGAAGCAATCTTAACTTTTTCTTTTTTTCCTAAGAAACATCAATGACTCCGATGGTTTCTTTTCATCATTGTCTCGTAGTTTTTTCTGTAAAATATTTTATTACTATAAATACTATACATCTCGTACAGCTACTATATGACAATGCGAATAACCCTATTAGGTGCTTTTGAAGAAAAATTTTGCACAACTCCGTTCCTACTCAAACTAACTCTTATTAAGCTGACATGCGTTTGTGATCCTAACTCTTATTAAGCTGACATGCGTTTGTGCCCAAGTTTTTTTTAAAAAAAAAAAAAAAAAAAAAAAAAAAAAAGTCTTAACCTGTCAAAATTTAACGCATATGAATGTGGTTAAAACCCATAAAAAAAAAATAGAAGTGCTCGGTTTTGACCTAATGTGGGGCCAATTTATGGTTTTCTATATATTAATACACCTGTAATATCATTATTGGACGAAATTGATTGATGGGCTAATGATGTTTTTGTTATTCGACCTGCAGGAGGATTGCAAAGAATGGGTTCCCATGCGCAGAGCATTTGGGGCAGTTTGGGATATGGCTAACCCACCAAGAGGCTATATCACCTTGAGGTTCCAAGTCATAAGCAGCGCAGGCAACACTTACTGGGTGCAATCAACCAATGCCATACCTGAGAATTGGGAGGCTGGAGCTGTTTATGACTCCAAAATTCAGCTCAATGATTAATTCATGCTGTGTTTCTTTACTTATCAAGGATAATTAAATAGAGAATGGAGATGTGAAATACTTTAGTTTTTATTGTTTCTTTTTTAGTTAGCTGGTTGGTTGGTGTTTAATTAGGGAAAACAATATATGCATGCCCGGTGGCGTAGGTGGGTGTGCTTTATGTTGCTTCAATAAGTAGTGGGATGTTTGTACTTGGAATTTGGATTTGGTGACGTACGACATAAATAAAGTTTGTGCTCTTTTGTTTAGCCTAGTTAAAAAAAAAATATCGTGAGGAGCTTCAGAATAATGGAACTTTTTCTACGGATTCCGAGTCTGCAACAACTAAGCCAGTTAGTTAATCTAAAAAAACATGTTTCATTCGGTCATTTTTACACCTTATTAAATGGTGTCATGTGACATGTTTGTGTACACACACATAAAGACACTACTATGAAGAAGTAAAAGTTCGGGCTGCCCGGCCCCCGGACGGCCAAAATGGAAATTTCAGTCCGGTCCTAAAAGGGGAGGATCGGCCCATCTTGGTTCTACTAGCCCTGTATTTTATAACAGCTTAAAAGCATAACAACATGGGAATATACAACACATATCTAAAAACAAAAATTCCTTTACAGGCCTGTCATTTCATTTCAAAATTAGGCAATGCATTGATATAAAATTCTCACATATCTAGAATCGAGATACATCACCAATTCTGTTCAGTACAATCTACCGGTGCATTCATGAGAACCGCAAAAGCAACTCTTCTTTATATTTCCATTTGAATCACGAACTTGATCCGCCACATAATTGTAGTGAAAAGTCAGCTCTTCCAGAGGACGAATGTTCTCCGCAGCGAAAAGCATTATGTGAGGAATTCTCTTGTCCTCATGATCATACAGGACGTTTTGTGCATAAAGATTTGGGGTGCAGCTATGGTTGATAAATCTCCCTACATTGCCGTACTCTGCCGCGTCGATGGTGAAGCCTTCACCATCCTCCACTGAACGGGGCATGAGAGTGGACAGTCCCTTCCCAAGAGTATTGTCGTTGTAGTTGTTCCCAATATTGAAGAGATACTCGCCGTTTGCCGTTCTTGCTTCAGCTTCCTTAGCACTAAGAAACTCTCCTAGGTATTCGCAAATAAAACTTCCTGAAGTAATGAAGTTTAGGGATCTCACACCCCATCCCCTTTCTTTGGTTTTGAAAATTTCGAGTTGAATTTGATACCATGCTGACTCACTCTGTTGGGACAAGAAGGAGGGCACCTGCACGACGGGCCACACTCGTAAACAAGGGGCTTCACTTCAATGATGGCCCCGTTATGGTTAAATGGGATTTCGCCTCCATTCTTGACAACACGAGCATTTTGCAGAAGCTGAGCATTGAGTAGTACAGTTGCAACCCTTGGGAGGAGTAGGTTTGCACAAATCAGGATATAGCAGGCTGGTTATGTACTTAAATCGTGGAGGTTTCTCATCATCTATGGTGTTCACTGCACGTATCGGAATTACCTCCTTCCCTTTCGAGATATCGTCTACACAGACACCCTCTCGCACCATGTATTTCTTAACCTTCTTCACTTCTTCCATGCAAGCTCCGGTTGCCCAGGAACTCTCTCAAGCTGAAACTTGAAAACCAGCTTACCATGTGGTCCCACATCCTGCCAAAACTTTTCTACCAAATAAAGCCCATCGTATACGTATGTCCTAGAAGATTTCCCCTCAGATTTCCCATCTGATAATTCACATCCACGGATCACCCAGACAGGATTCTTTTCGTACATACTGTTCTTCAGAGCAAGGTTTCCCCGTTCAAGCTTCTGATTTACAGGTTCTTTACTTGAATTCATAACATTTCCTCCTTGGCCTGTATAAATTAAGACATCCAAATAATCTAAATCATCAGCATAACCCCCTGATTCAACAATACTTGTTGCAAGGATCTTCTTACCTACCCTCACAGAATCTATTCCACCTTGAATTGGCCGATGGAGACCAATAATATGAAGCTCCACCCTGTACTGGAACTCGTCGCCGACTTCAACTCCAGGGACAGCTCCCAGTATTTTATGTGCATTCATGTATTTGTTTTTTCCTTTGAGAAAATTTGCAGCTTTACAGTCAATCCTCTTGCAAGCCTGTCCTCCTTTCGGCTAAGCTTCTTCCCGCGAGAACTTCCTATAAACACCTTGGAACAGACGCAATGTCTCCCTTACTTTATGCCGGGCAACAATGGCATCGTCGTCGTGACCTTTACTGCTTGAATCAACTCGACAAATAGGAAAAATAAAGACATCATTACCATGTGATTTTGGAACCACATGAGGATCTTTACACTCATTATGTCGAAGAGAATCCTCTTTATCTGAAATAACTAACTGACCTGCATTTCGAGGAGCAGTTTCTGGGGGAATCTTCTTTAAAGAAATTCATTTTGTGATGTTTTCATCAACCTTTTTCCTGGCAGTCACCTTTGTCTTCTGCCTTTTAACCAGATTGGTAACATCTTGTTTCTTCTCTTTACTTTCGCTCGTTCCAGCAGTTAGTTTAGACTTGCTAGCACTCATTTCCAGCCACAAAGGATTTGATGGACCCAGCAAACCATGCAGTATCACTCTGTTTGATGCAACTTCCAAACTCCCAACATCTGCTACTTGCGACTGGTTTTGAAAATCAGATGTAACTGAAAGCTTTTCATCTGGACTTTTTTCCTCGGAGTACGCTGTCTCCTTATCCACGTGTTCTTCTAAACCTTCAACATCATCATTGTCTTTTCCAACAACTGTCTCAAATTCACGGTCCCACCAGTAAAGCTTGTCTTCAAATGGAGGTTCATTATAGCTTTCTCTTTCTTCCTGATCCACCTTCATCTCAGATGATATTACATTATCATCTTCTATAGCATTCTTGTCACATTCTCGTTGAAGCTTGTCTCTTATTACTTTAGCACCATTCAACTCCAGTTCATTCTTATAAGAATCTCCAGCCAGAATGTCCTTGACTTTTTGTTTTAGATCAACGCTCACCGTCTCTGTTGAGTTTGTCATTCATTCCTGGTCTGGACTTCTCTCGATCACAGTTTTTGTTTCTCAGTGAAGCAGACACTTCCAAAGACTACATTGGTGGAACGTCCCCTAAAGTTTGCTTCACTTCACCCTTCACAGTCCTTGTCAAGGGTCTGTCATCCATGTTTGGTTCACACTTCTCTTGACCAAAAAATTTGTCCTTTGGAGAAACAAGCAATTCCAGAGACTCATTAGGTTGAACTGAGTCCCCATTTACTTTGGAGTTATTCCTTTCCAATTTAATTTTGTACAAATCTCCATCTTGAGCATCCCCTGCTGTTTGTCTCATATCAACTGCCACTGTTGAGGTTTCGTCAATCATATCACATTCAGACCTTTCTACACCAGCACTTTTGTTTTTCGGAGAAGAAAGTACTTCCAAAGACTCTTCCTTACCAAGAGAGAGAGCATTTCTTCCACAGAATGGAGGGAACTCTCGGATGGCTGAAACTCTCCTCTGAGGAGGATACTTTTTGGCGACACGCTTGATCAAATCATTGCCATTGGAAATAGTAATGGGCTCAATTGCTGGTAACAAAAATTTATGGTCTAACATATCACGAATAATATCCTCCTTTCTAGCAGCACCCACCTGACGCAAATTGCTCAACAAATCAGAAGTTCCATTCTCTAGGCCATCACCCATCCCGTCCTTGAAAGTATTGGTCAAAGCAGTTCCTGCAGCTTCAGTTGGTCTCAAGCTGACCCGTTGAGCATACCGTCCACACCCTGCTGGAAAATCACGAACAACAGAAATTTTACGCCTCTTGTACTTTGTTGAACTAACAAGGAAAGAGCACTGGCCATTTTCCATGATCAACTTTTCCAATCTATCAGAATGGTTTCCATTAACCAACATGGTCGTCCTCATTGCTTCTGATTGTAGCATAATGTACACAAACCCAAAACCCTCAAGCCAAAACAATCTGTGCTCAAGAAACCAAAAAACAGGCATAACCATAAACATAATCACTTAATCAGCATCAAATAAAACAAGAATCTTATTATCTATAAGAGTTTGCGCTCATGACCATAGGCCCAAAAGGAAATCTTACATTCTGAAAGTATAAAAATATTAATCTTAATAAAAACAAACATAAAACAATCTATCCTTCGTTACAGATAAAGGGCAATGAGGGAAGTAGTAATATCCAGATATTATGATTATGGTCCGTTTGGTTGTGGCATAGTATTCTAATTTTGAACTTGGGGGCGGGGGATTCGAACTCTTCACCTTATGGTGGAGTCAGGTGTGGTATTACCGGCCAGGCTATGCATGCAATGGCATAGTGTTCTAATTTTTATGATGTTGAAAACATTAAAACAGATTGGGACAAGAAAAAAAATGCCATGTTTTCAGTTTAAAAAAAATAAAAATAAAAAACACCAATTTCAAGTTATCATTACCAAACATGTTTGCAAAACACAATTGTATTCATTGATTCCAACATTTCAAGCCTAAGTGTATTGTTTCCAAAACGGAGAAAATAAACCAAAAGCCAGACGGCCCTGTTTCTCGGTTGAGGAATGCTAAATGCAGCCTCTCTCATACTCTTCTTCAGATGCCATTGTAGATTATTGACAAGTGTCTTTTAGATTTTACCAAAATCTTGAGCTTATTAACAAGGCATCCTGACACTATTTATTTATTTACGTAAGTGCCACCGCTTTTAATTGAATGGTGACTTCTTTTGACCTCGTTCATTTCACCTATTCGAATTTTCAGTTTTAGATTTTTACGGTTAAAAGCTCTCAAAATTTGTCACATCTAATTTTTTCTGTTACAGTTAAAAGCTCTCAGAAAATGTCACATCTTAACTCGAATCCGCAAAGCGAACGAAGCCTGTCTTCTAATTTTCTTCTTACTTTATTTGTGTCTTTTTTACTTTACCACTACTATATTGTACTTTGCTGATTGTCTATTTCTTCTTCTTTTTCTTCACATTTTTAAAAAAAAAAATATATCATCCTCTCCATTTACCCTTACAAAAACTTTTCCCCTTTTGATTTCTTCCCTTTTATTTTTGTTCTTTTACTCAGTTGTACTATGCCAATTCCTTTGGCTTTTTTTTTTTTAACTGATTCCTTTGGGTTTTTTGGTTTTAAAACAATTCTTTTAGTTTTCTTTTCTCTTTTCTTTGCTCTCTTTTTTTATCCTCTTCTTTTATTTTCATTACTTACACTACGGTAGCGACCTAGTTAAATATGGATTTAACTTTCAACATAAACCTTATCGAAAAAACATCCAAACAAACGATGTCAATAAAACTTTTTCCCAAATTTAAATCACAAATATACACACACACACAAATATACACACACACACACACAAATATATATATTATTTGCCGTGTATTTTAATAATATGATAAAATATACAAGCTAAAAAAATAATATGATAAAATAGTTCGTCAAAGAAAAAATGTTAAAATTGTATTTAAATAGGTTTCGCTGATCCCCACTAATTGTAAAAAATAAAAACATCAAGATGGACTTTCAAAAAAAAAAAAAAAAACATCAAGAAGTAAAATGAGAATTAGACAATTAGTTAAAATTACAACGCAAGTTTTTACCATAATCATAAAAATTTAAATTCTTTTTTTTTTATTATATTGTTTTCTCTGACGTAAATTTATTTTTCAACTCAATTACTCAACTAGACTGCAGCCTATTGCAAACAACCAACCAAACAGGGACCAAATAGCAAAAGTGTTGGGCAAAATAACGAAACGAAAATGAAATTAGCTAAAACACGAATGAGAAAACCACAGAAATCCCTCTTGTTCGCAAAACCGAGTTCAAGATTAGACAAACTCCGACCTAATTTCATCCAGGAACAGTACAAACAATACAATAGTCACAAACGGTCAAAATTCCACCAAAAATTACGCCCAAAAATAAAGCGAGAGATTCAAAAATTAAAGCACGAACTGTTCCAAATCACTAGCTACCGCGATCACAAGAGAAAGAATCGAAGAAAAAGAAAAAGGAATGGCAGAGTTAAGAGATTCACCTGGGTTTTCCAGAGAAATCAACGGGCAGCGATTGGCGAAACCGAGTGATGGTACGAAGGTAGAGAGAGGGAGAGAGATAGAGATATTGTGTAGTTGTAGTACAGAGAGAATGGGTGATTGGTCAATATTAAACTATCCTTAAAAAAAACACAAACTTTTCCAATGTTACAAATTAAAAATTAATGACACAAAAAATTCATTTTAATGGTATTTTGCAGGTTTTTTAAATCAAAATCGTAAGTTTAAGGGCTCTTTAGAATTTATATTCAAATTATAATTTTTTATTTTAACCTTTAAAATTTAAATTTTTTATTAAAAAAAAATATTATAGTAAAATTAATAATTTGAATTTGAGTATATAAAATAAATAGATTTCTTTTTTATTTTTTATTCATGGGTATTTTAAGTATTTTAAAGTTAAAACTGTGTTGACTGTGGAAATGTATAAATTTAGATATTAAATCGAATTTGAAATAAATATTTGGCCTCCATTTATTTCACTGATTTAGTTCAGTTCAACCAGTTTGAACAATGAGCGCAGTTTGAACTCATATTTGGTAAGCACACAGTCCAAATTATATCCCCGTTTAAACTGTCTAACTTAGAGTTTAACTCTCCTAATGTTCAATTGTTCAAACCATTTTCGAACAATAAAAAGATGTCAACTCTCTTTGCTTTTTACATCTACCAAGCACACGAATTTTATTCCATGTTCGGATTAAAATTTTAAGTGCTTGTCCAAACACCAATCAAACTATAATTTAAACCATACAGTTAAAATTTTTCTGTTTAAATACAAAATTCAAAATATTAAAAACTAAAGGTATAGTTTTTTTAATGGGAGTTTCTCCGGTATTCCCTCCTTTTTAGAACACTGGTGTTCCTTATTTTCAACCGTTAGATCTGGTCAAAATCACACCAGATTGAAAATGTCTGCAAAACAAGCAGATGTCAATGGGGTGACTATAGTGCCTAGTGGTGTCCATCTATATGGATCTCACTATTTGATCTAAAGTGGATTTCTATTCATGCAGAAACCAGTTAAAACGGAAAGTAGCTCGCTATAGAACCTGCTATTAATAAGGGATGTCAATGGGACAAAGTAAATGGTGCTCTGTCCCGTTCTTAATGGGAGTGGGTCTAACCCATATATATTGGTTTGCAGTGCGGGTCAAGACTCGTAAAGTTACGATTCAGGACGGATCGAACTAAATCCGCCCCATTACGTTATTTAAAAAATAAATAAAAACAAAATAAAAGAAAACATCAAACTTAGTCGTCACTTTTATTTCCTCCTCTTCACCCCTAAATTCAACTTAACCCTAACCCTAACTCTTTCCTCACCTTCCCCGGCTAATCCTCCGCCAACGCTTCCGTCCGAGCTGGTATGTATTGAACGCTTCTAACATCTCTCTCTAATATTTAACTTTCTCAAGAAGTTATATGTGCTTGAGGTGGAAAAAATGTGTAGGTAAAGAATAAAGTATAGTTAGGGCAATAAAAGGTATTATATATAACTATTGAGTTATAAAAAAAAAATCAAATAGCGTGCAATAATGATTACTTATTGTTTAATTCTATAAAAAGTATTACATAATGTAATTTTGATGTTTTTTTTTTTTCTTTGCAAGTTCTAAATGAGAATATTAAGTGGGGATGATGATAATACTTAAAATGTTAAACGAAGTGTTGCTAACCGCATTGATTATATTTAACCATTAGACATCATGTAAACTTATGTTTTTTTTTTTCCTTATAGAAATGAATTCTACTGGTCTTAGTCCCAAGAAAAAAACATCAAATTATCCTCTCCTCATTCAAAAAGGGTAAAAAAAAAAAAGAAAAAGAAGAACATGAGTTGACCAATTATAAGGACAACTTTAACTATATCTAACTCAGCAACAAAAAAGAAAAGACCGGGTCACGGGGCAGGATGGGTGCCCTGCAGACCCGCTTGTTTATATGTGGGGCAGGTCATCTAAAAACCCGCTCCGCTCCACCCCGCCCTATTGACATCACTACCTATTATATATCCTTATGGACCCCGGTTTATAATTTTGCATGGAGATTATGCATTTGCCACTTATATTATACATATATTCTCCAACCATCATTTAGCATAGATAGCTGTAAAAATGCTTTTGAACCATACTAACAAACTTATCGCAGGCTTTCACTCAGAATATGCTCAAATGGACAATTGGGATGGTGAAATGTGCCGTGCAACCCAAATCAGAGTCGCTAAATAATGGAAAGAAACAACATTAATTATTTTTCTTAAAAGAAAAATCCACGACTCCGATTGTTCCTTTTAGTCATTTTATTGTAGCTTTCTCTGTAAAATATTTTATTACTATATACTATACATCTCGTGCTACTACTTAAGAGAATGCGAATGACCCTACCTATTAAAAGAAGCTGACATGCGTTTGTGATCCAAGTTCTTTTTGGAAAAAAAAAAAAAAATGCTTTAACCTAGCAAAATTTAACCCATATGAATGTAGTTAAAACCCATAAAAACAAATAGAAGTGCTCGCTTTTGACCTAATGTGGGGCTAATTAATGGTTTTCTATATATTAATACACCAGTAATTTCATTATTGGACGAAATTGATTGATGGTTTAATGATGTTTTTGTTAATCAACCTGCAGGAGGATTGCAAAGAGTGGGTTCCCATGCGCAGAGCATTTGGGGCAGTTTGGGACATGGCTAACCCACCAAGAGGCTATATCGAATTGAGGTTCCAAGCCACAAGCAGCGCAGGCAACACTTATTGGGTGCAGTCAACCAATGCCATACCTGAGAATTGGGAGGCTGGAGTGGGGCTGTTTATGACTCCAAAATTCAGCTCAATGATTAATTCATATTATGTTTATTTATGAAGGATAATCAATAGAGAAGATAAATTATATTAATTGTTATTACTTATATTTTTAATTGTTTCTTTTTTAATTAGCTTCTGGTTGGTTGGTGTTTGATTAGAAAAAATGATAGTTGCATGCCGGGTTGGCGTAGGTAGGTGCGGTTGTTGGTTCAATAATAAGTAGTGTCGGAATTTGGATATGGTGAGATATATAGTGCATGAATAAAGTTTGTACTCTTGTTTAGCTTAGTCAAGAAATGCCTCGAGAATCTAACTTTTAATACCCAATTCCGAGTCAGCAACAACTATACTATGCCTGTTAGTTAATCAATAATATATATATATATATAATTCGAGTTTTTAATTTAAATTTTAATATATATAGAACATGAATAAAGTTTGTATTCTTGTTTAGCTCAGTAAAGAAATGCCTAGAGAATATAACTTTTAATACCCAATTCCAAGTCAACAACAACTATACTATGCCTGTAAGTTAATTAATAAAATATATGTATATATATATATATAATTCGAGTTTTCAATTCAAATTTTGTGCGGCAGCGAGAGACTCTTCAGGTACGCCTAAGATCATATGGACAGGTTCTGTGACTGCTCAATCCTCATTAGAGGCTGAAACTCTAGCTGCTCTCAGGGAGGGGAGTTCAGTTGGCAGTTTCTAAAGGATGGCAGAGAGTGTGCTTTGAAGGTGATTGTAAAGAGCTCTATGATGCTCTTCATGCTAGATCTCCATGTCCAGATTGGATGATTTTAACTTCATTTTTGAAGATTAACCGTTCACTTCGCTGATTCGAGTTTTTAATTCGAATTGAGATGTGATTTTATATGAGAGCTTTTTACTGTAGCAAAAAAGTTAGATGTGATTGTTTGTGAGAGCTTTTTACTGTAATAAAACTCGAATTCTAAACTAGAATCAGCGAAATGAACGGGACCTCTTTAACTAGTGCTCTAGATGTTGTTATGTCACCTTTGTATGGGTTCCTCGTAACTGCTAATATGGTCTCTCACCTGGTTTGTAAATGGGCTACCTCTGCTAAGGTTCTTGGCTTCCTAGTATAAGTTTCTTGGGTTTGCATACTTGTCTATGCTAATATCATTACCCAGTGGAAAAATTACATATTCCACAACAACAACAAAAAAGCCTTGCAATCGTTTATGAAAGTAGAGTAGTCGTCGTTTTTCATTAGTGTATGAAAGTAAGAAGCTAAAGACTACTTTTTGAAGGTAATTTACAACTCTTCAGCCTAAAAGCATAACATGGGAATATACAACACATCTGAAAAGAAAAATTCTCTCTTTACATGCCTGTCTAAGTGATTTCATTTCAAAACTAGGCAATCCAAACTTCCAAAGCTAGTCCGCTCATTCTCAATACAATCTACCGGTGCATTCATGGGAACCACAAAAGCAACTCTTCTTCTTTATATTTCCATTTGAATCACGAACTTGATCCACCACATAATTGTAGTGATAAGTCAGCTCTTCCAGAGGACGAATGTTCTCCGCGGCAAAAAGCATTATGTGAGGAATTCTCTTGTCCTCGTGATCATAGAGGACGTTTTGTGCATAAAGATTTGGGGTGCAACTATGGTTGATAAATCTCCCTACATTCCCGTACTCTGCCGCGTCGATGGTGAAGCCTTCACTATCCTCAACAATTTCGTCAGAAGCGGACACTGAACTGGGCATGAGAGTCGACAGTCCCTCCCAGAGAGTATTGTCGTTGTAGTTGTTCCCAATATCGAAGAGATACTCGTCGTTGCCAGTTCTTGCTTCTGCTTCCTTGTCACTGAGAAACTCTCCTAGGTATTCGCATATAAAACTTCCCGAAGGAATGAAGTTTAGGGATCTCACACCCCATCCCCTGTCTTTGGTTTTGAAAATTTCGAGTTGAAATTTGATACCATGCTGACTCACTCTGTTGGGACAAGAAGGAGGGCACCTGCAAGACGGGCCACATTCATAAACAAGGGGCTTCACTTCAACGATGGCCCCATTATGGTTAAATGGGATTTCACCTCCATTCTTGACAGCACAAGCACATTTTGCAGAATCTGAGCATCGAGTAGTACAGTTGCAACCCTTGGGAGGAGTAGGTTTGCACCAATCAGGATATATCAGGCTAGTTATGTACTTAAATGGTGGAGGTTTCTCATCATCTATGGTGTTCACTGCACATATAGGAATTACCTCCTTCCCTTTTGAGATATCATCTACACAGACGCCCTCTCGGACGTTGTATTTCTTAACCTTCTTCACTTCTTTCCATGCAAGCTCCGGTTGACCAGGAATTCTCTCAAGCTGAAACTTGAAAACCAGCTTACCATGTGGTCCCACATCCTGCCAAAACTTTTCTACCAAATAAAGCCCATCATATACGTATGTCCTAGAAGATTTCCCCTCAGATTTCCCATCTGATAACTCACATCCACGGATCACCCTGACAGGATTATTTTCGTACATACTATTCTTCAGAGCAAGGTTTCCCCGTTCAAGCTTCTGATCTTCAGGTTCTTTACTTGAATTCATAACATTTCCTCCTTGGCCTGTATAAATCAAGACATCTGAATAATCTAAATCATCAGCATAACCCCCTGATGCAACAATACTTGTTGCAAGGATCTTCCCACCTTCCCTCACAAAATCTATTCCACCTTGAATTGGCCGATGGAGACCAATAATATGAAGCTCCACCCTGTATTGGAACTCGTCTCCGACTTCAACCCCAGGGACAGCTCCCAGAATTTTATGTGTGTTTATGTATTTGTTTTTTTCTTTGAGAAAATGTGCAGCTCTAAAATCAATCCTCTTGCAAGCCTGTCCTCCTTCTTTCGACTTAGTTTCTTCTTCCTGCAAGAACTTCCTATAAACACCTTGGAACAGACGCAATGTCTCCCTTACTTTATGCCGGGCAACAATGGCATCGTTGTCTTGATCTGTACTGCTTGAATCAACTGGGCAAATAGGAAAAATAAAGACATCATTGCCACGTGATTTTGGAACCACATGAGGATCATCACGCCCATTATGTCGGACAGAATCCTCTTTGTCCCAAATAACTAGCTGACCTGCACCTTGAGAAGCAGTTTCCGCGGAAATGTTCTTTAGAGACTTTCCTTTTGCGTCATTTCCATCAACCTTTTTCCGGGCAGTAATCTTAGTCTTCTGCCTTTCAACCATATTGATAACATCAAGTTTCTTCTCTTTACTTTCACTCTTACCAGGACCAGCAGTTAGTTTAGACTTGCGAGCACCCATTTCCTGCCACAAAGAATTTGATGGAGCCAGCAAACCATGCACTATCACTCTGTTTGGTGCAACTTCCAAACTCGCAACATCTGCTACTTGCGACTGGTTTTGATAATCAGATGTAACTGAACACTTTTCATCTGGAGTTTTTTCCCCGGAGTACACAACAATCTCCTTACCCACGTGTTCTTCTGAACCTTCAACATCATTATTGTCCTTTCCAACAACTGTCTCAAATTCATGGTCCCACCAGTAAAGCTTCTCTTCAAATGGAGGTTCATTACAGTTTTCTCTTTCTTCCTGATCCACCTTCATCTCAGATGATACTACATTATCATCTGTTGTAGCATTCTTATCACATTCGTGTTGAATTTTGTCCTTTATTACTTTAGCTCCATTCAGTTCCAATTCATTCATGTAAGAATCTCCAGCCGGAATGTCCTCTACAGTTTGCTTTAGATCAACATTCACTATCTCTGTTGAGGGTTTGTCATTCATTCCTGGTCTGGACTTCTCTGGATCACAGCTTTTGTTTTTTGGTGAAGCAAGCACTTCCAAAGACTCCTTTGGTGGAACATCCCCTAATGTTTGCTTCACATCACCCTTCACACTCCCTGTCAAGGGAGTGTCATCAATGTTCACTTGACCAAAAAATTTGTTCTTTGTAGAAACAAGCAATTTCGCAGACTCTTTAGATTGAACTGTGTCCCCGGTTACTTTGGAGTTTTTCCTTTCAAATTTAATTTTGCACAAATCTCCATCTAGAGCATCCCCTGCTGTTTGCCTTACATCAACTATCACTGCCTCTGTTGAGGTTTTGTCAATCATCTCACATTCAGACTTTTCTAGACCAACACTTTTGTTTTTTGGAGAAGAAAGCACTTCCAAAGACTCTTCCTTACCAAGAGGAGAAGCATTTCTTCCACAGAATGGAGGGAACTCTCGGATGGCTGAAACTCTCCTCCGAGGAGGATACTTTCTCACAACACGCTTGTTCAAACCGTTGCCATTGGAAATAGCAATGGACTCATTTGCAGGTAACAAAAATTTATGGTCTAACAGATCAGGAATAATATCCTCCTTTGTAGCAGCAACCACCTGACGCAAATCGCTCAACAAATCAGAAGTTCCATTCTCTAGGCCATCACCCCTCCCGTCCTTGAAACTTACATTCTCAAGTATATTGGTCAAAGCTGTTCCTGTGGCTTCAGTTGGTCTCAAACTGAGCCGTTGAGCATACCGTCCACACCCCGCCGGAAAATCACGAACAGCAGAAATTTTACGCCTCTTATACTTTGTCAAACTAACAAGGAAAGAACACTGGCCATTTTCCATGGTCAACTTTTCTAATCTATCAGAATGGCTACCATTAACCAACGTGGTTGTCCTCATTGCTTCTGATTGTAGCATAATATACACCAAAACCCAAAACCCACAAGCCAAAACAATCTGTGCTCAAGAAATCAAAAAACAGGCATAACCATTAATATAATCAGATCAAATAAAGCAAGAATCGTAGTATCTACAAACTCATAACACATAGGCTTTTCTACATTCTGAAAGTAATAAAATATTAATTTTAATAAAAACAAATATAAAAGAATCTATCCTTCGAAACAGATGAAAGACAAGAAGGGAAGTAGTAATATCCAGATATTATGATTATGGCCCGTCTGGTTGTGGCATTGTTCTCATTTTTACGATTTTGAAAACATCAAAACAAATTGGGACAAGAAAAACACGCCATGTTTTCAGTGTGTTTATTTATTATATTATATTATATATATAGCCAATTTTCAAGAGAGCATTACCAAACATGTTTTGCAAAACACAATTGTATACACTGATTCCAACATTTCAAGTCTAAGAGTATTGGTTCGGGCTCCAAAACAGAGAAAATAAATCAAGAGCCACAAATCCCTGTTTCTCGGTTGTCAAACAACGAAAAACAAAAATTGCAGACGACCAAACAGGCACCAAATAGCAAAAAATGTTCGGCAAAATAACAAAACGAAAATGAAATTAGCTAAAACAGGAAAGATAAAACCCCATAAACCCCTATTTTCACAAATCCGAGTTCAATATTACACAGACTCTGATCTAATTTCATCCAGGAGTAGAACAAACAATACAATAGTCACAAACGCTTAAAATTCCACCAAAAATTACTATAAAAAAAAAACCGAGAGAGATATTAAAGCACGAACTGTTCCAAATCAACCAGCTACCGAACACAGAAGAGAAAATTCGAAGAAGAAAAATACAAGAATGGCGAAGTTAAGAGATTCACCTGGGTTTTCCGGAGAAATCAATGGGTAGCAAGGGGCGAAACCCAGTGATGGTACGAAGGTAG